TCTGCACCCCACGCACCTTCCCTCTCCACACAGCAATACACCTTGGCATCCGCACAACCCACTCTCCACAGCCACTTCCTTCTCATTGGCCACTCTTCCAGGCTCAAGTTGATCATGTATTCCTTTGGGACTTTTCCTCTGTCGCTGTTCCACCAAGGAGTGGTTTGCTTTTTGACATGAAGCACACAGATGTACGGATACACTGGTCTGCTAGCCATCTCACCTAACTTGACTTGTACTTTGCCTGGTAATCTAGCTGTACACCTGTCCCTGCAGTAGACTTGTGTCATCTTAAAACCTATCTTTGATCTCAGCCTTGTCCTGTATGGTGTCTGTGAATCACCCTAAACTGAAACCTCTCCCTCAAGATACCCGAGCGTGTCTCAAGAATTTTCTCACAGTGCCTCTGTGCCAAGAGCATGCAGCAACTTTGGTTCACAGTGATATCCAACACCTTAATATGTATCCATGTACTAGCAACTCACTCTCCATTTAAGAAAATAAAGTAAACTTCAAGAAACAAGTATTTCATCCCAGTCTTAGATGGCCACCATTACTTACCAATGGAAAGTGTGTAACCTGTAGACATGTCACAACTTCTCACAGATCCCACTGTGTATCACCGCTCATTTCCTGTTCCATGCTGACCTTGGCGCCACAGCAACCACTGAAAGCTGGACTTTGTATACAGGATGTGACAGGAAGGAATGTAGTGTGATCTATGTTGAAACAGTAAACTCCCTGGAGCTAGCAGTTTGTTCAATGCCAAATATCACCAGGGTCCCCTTGGGAGCTAGAGTCCTGTGAGCTCACTATAGCCCCCTCAGTCCATTGCTTCGGGAATCGCAGAAATAATACACAGATGCCCACCCAACACGTACATGGTCCACCCCAGCTAGAATGATGATATGGCATATTTAAATACACATAGCTACAGAACGGGTACTGGCAACAATATTTTGCCATAGAGTAGATATACTAGGTTTATAGACTATTTGGTCTCTTTAGCAACCACTCAACTTTGCCATGGCCACATCAACACAGACAGAAACAACACAGGAGGGGTTCTCTACAAAAACAGCCTCTTTGGCTGATGTTTGCAGTCTCGTGTTAGAGAAAGGCCTTCAAAAGGTACAAATGTGAGATGAAATACTGTGTGTTCGCACTGGCATTAGTAAATGAGTAAGTCAGGACTTTCTGCAGAATGGGACGATACAGGAGGATTGGCTCTGAAGGAGAAGGTTGGTAGACGGCATGTTCATCAAAGCATCACAGCACTGGTAAAGGGTCAGAGACACACAGCACGCCACTTCACAGAGCACGGGACAGAAGCATTTGCATGACATATAAATTTTTAAGCCTCTTTTAAACATTTTATTACATGAAAGTCTTCAATTTACCAAACAAAATTTGAGAGGTATAAATACAGAGAGTCCTTATATGTTCCCCACCCTATTTCCCCTAATATCATCTCATATTAGTATCTTTGCTGCAATGAATGAACCATACCCAGTTTCCCTCATATTTCTAATCCAAATTCCTTTCATCTTACTGGTATGTCAAAGACTTAGAAGAAAACCTAATCATACTAAACATCAGAAAAAATATGCCTTGAGGATCTTTTTACAAAACAATTAGCTTAGCTTATAATCCTTCTAAGTATCAAAGCCATGAAAGTTAAAAAAAAAAAAAGCCTGAGTAGAAGATAACCAGAGACTGAAAAATGAGAACTATGAACAGAGATTTATATGTGATTTATATGTGATGTGTAATTCCAGACTGGAGCATTTGGATATTAATCATATAACAGGCAAAAACTGGTTGTAGTATGAGAATTCAGTTCTAGTAAAGTTTCAATGTTGATTTCTTGACTTTGGTGTTCATACTGCGATTATGTGTGGGTCTTTGCTTATGAGAAAAACACAACGAAGTACCCAGGGTTGTCAGGGAATCGTATCAGCAGCTCCTGAAAAACAAAGTTGCTTGTGCCTTTACTAGTTCCCTCTAGTGTTGAGATTGTTTCAAAATCTTAATATTTTAATTAGACAGAAGAGCAAATAGGCTCCATATTTATATTTATGCTTCATATTCACATATAATACAGTCATGTACCTCATAATAATACTTTAGGATCAACAGCGGACCTCATATACAACAGTAATCCCAGCAAGAGCAATCCCATATGCTCGGGGAAATAAGTCAATCCTCCAAAGACAAAACATGCTCTCTCCGAAATAAGGCAACCTTCATGCAAAACAGAAGATCAGTTGTCCTTTCAATACTGTTTTTCCTATATCTCATGGGTTTTGATACATTTGTTTTCATTTTCATTCCCTCAGCCTTTTCTCTTATTAATTTCCTCACTGACTCACAGGTCATAGAGTAGCATCATTTTTTTTGAAGGTTTGTTTTTGATTTTATTTTTCATTTCTTCAGTGACACATTGGTCATTCAGTAGCAGGTGATTTAACTTCACATTGTAAATTTTCTGTTTTTCTTCCTGTTGTTGACTTGGTGTCATGGCTTTTCATATAAGGGGATGTATAGTAACTGTGTAACAGAGACTATCACATACAAACGTGAAGATACAATGCAGCACGCATCTCTACTTTCAAATAAAAAATGGACTCCCAATGAAACTATTAAATTCATCCTGACAATAGGATGCTGAAGTCTGCCACTGTCCATATCTACACTTCAATAGCAGAATGATGGACTTAGGACTGTTTATGAAGGACTATACTATCGTAATAATAGCGGGGAAATCAGGAGGGGAGAAGGGATTCGGGGAGGGGGGAAGGAAAACGCTAGAGCCTATGGAACTGTATCATAAAATAATAAAATAAATAAAAGTTTAAAAAAGATTAACCCCATAATGCAGATGAACATTTGCTGTAGTTGCACGATGCACCCCTTATGTGTCTGTGGTGCTGTCGGAGTAAACATATCTACTGCTCACCTGCTAATTGTAAGAAAGTGCGGGACACACATTAGGTACAGAGTATCATACCTGATGGGTTTGTATGGTTATCATGCTCTACTTTTTGTCCTTGGTTTAGATTCCTTCTAAATTTAAGAAGGAATTTTAAGAGACGCTCATCGTAAGACAGTGTGTCACATCGTACTGGCAGCAGCCTTAGACATCTCTGACTTACCACTTTTGACTGCATCAAAAACCCATGTCAGCTGACTGGCACTGTCTAGCTCTGTGTAGGTGCACCTTACAACATTCACACATCAGAATTACCCAGCGACACATCTCCCAGAACCTATCTCTATTGTCAACCAACACAGGACTACATATTCTATATTCTATATATTGAACGTGCTTGTATTTATATGTTCTTGTCTCTATACATACTACCGCTCACTATGCACCTACTTCCATCACAGGCAATCTTCCATTTTCTTCCCAGGCAAACAGCCCATGGAATATACAGAAACAATCATTATACATAGTTACCACTCTCCACTATTTAAGGCACAGAAGCTAGTTAAATTCCACTCAATCAATAAGTCATCATTGAACATCATTAACTTCAACTATATTCTCAGCATTGTGCGAGACAGAAGAAATGGATATATATGGATATATATACATATATCAGGCAAGGGGAAAGAATGTTTCCTTGCATACTGGTCAGATTGGTAAGTGTGGAATGTAACACACTACAAGATACTTAACTTCAGAATGAGTGTTGGTTTATATAAATGGATTAGCTCTTTCCCACCACACTCACCTTAGCCCTCTACAAAAGGACAATTAGAAAAGCCAGGGATGCTTAAAAAAGACTTGGAGGGGAGGGTAAAGAGTTGCCACAAATAGATCAAACAGCGCTCGCTAGCTGTGGCCCTCTGAATATGGAACAAAGAAACGTATCTTCATGATGGGTCAGAAAGAAGCAGAACCCGAAAAGAAACCTGGCTTTTCCCCCCGTCTCTTCCAAATGCTTGCCAGCCACCCTCAGTGACCACAGCAATTCTGAAGCACAGATGAAGACAGCACATTCTGTGAAGTTGACACACAAACAATAACCCAGCTGATCATCAGAAATCCACAGTACAGAGAAAGGAGGCCAAAGCTTTGATGCTTTCCTGGGTCACAGACGCTAAAACTGAGACTACTCATGGGTATTTTCTGAGAAATCAAACACTCAAACAAACTCAGTGTGCAGTGAAACAGGAGGAGGCAAGTCCATTTACTGCAGAATATCCCAGAGCCTACACGAATGCTAGCGTGCATCGTACACCTAAATGAAGGGATGCAAGCGAAATCATACGCAACTTTACACTTACACCAGCAGCTACGAGAAAACATGCAGAGTGGAGACAAGGAGAATAAATAGCTACTTTAAGAGATACAACCTCCAAGTGTTAATACCAGCTCTACACGATGTTTCCTGGAAGCTCACATTCTTTTAAAGCTTTGTCCTTTTTCTTCATAATAATTCTGTAACATAGCATAATTATGATCCTCCTTTTATTTCTAGGAAAATGAACTAGAAAAAATTAACTTTCAGATTTTCTGTGGCTGTAAAGTGGTCTCCCATCCAAGTACTAACCAGGCCCGACCCTGCTTAGCTTCCGAGATCAGACAAGATCGGGTGCGTTCAGGGTGGTATGGCCATAGACCGTGGTAAGGTAAGGCCCAGGCCCAAGCTCAGTTTGGCTCAGCTCTGATAACTCCACCCACCATACTACGAGAGTAAAATGACTCCTCGTCCACACCAGGATAACTGCTCGTTGGACACTGTGCAAGCATGAAAAAGAGTCATGGTAAGCAGCTTAGACAGAAGGCTAGGAATTTTAAAAGACTTACTCAGTGAAATTAGGGATGAGGGAAGATGGTAAACACCCCACTAAACAGCACTTTTATATAATTACAATGGTTCCAAGAGTTAATTAAAATCAAGTGGAATTTCAAGCAAAGTTGTATGCACCCAATAAGCTAACCCACGTTAAGGAGAAACCAATGATAAACCCGTTGAGAAGGCACTCACTGTGATTCTCTTCATATCCAGCTGGCGCAGCTGCATCATATTCTGAAGGACAGTGTGTTTGTACCATGACTCTTGTGCTATTGGGTTGCCATCAAAAGTTATGTCTGAGAGGGAAGTAGCATCAGCAAGGCAGGAAACACTGTCAAAACTACAGGAGAGAGAGAAACCACTGCATTATTCCGAGGCTTTCAAGTAACACTTCTGTTACTTGTTTTTAACAGTTTTAGATTTACAGAAAGCATAGTGTTCTCATCTATTCCACAGCCAACTCCCTCTAGCTAATAACACAGTACACTTGTAATTACTGAATAGCATCAATACATGGCTAACTATTAAATTTTCTTAGTTTTTAACCTAACATCCTTTCTCTGTTGCAGGACCCCAGGGACTTGTCATGTCTCCTGAGGCTCCTCTCTGAGGTCCTTAGACATTCCTAGTTATTGATGCCCTAAACTTCACTGAGGACTTTTCGTTGGCTATTTTGTAGGATGTCCCTGTATCAGAATTTGTCTGTTTTTCTTACGGTACAACTGGGGCTACTTCAAACTGAACTCCATGAGAAAGTTACAAAGTCCTGTGCAGCCCATACTCAGAAAGTGGTGCAGGCAAACGCCCTCTCCTGAGGGCAGACTCGGCTACATAAATTATCTGAACTTCTTCCTCTCAGGGGCTTTGTCTTTTTCTATCCATTTATTTATTTATATCATTTTGAACTTGTTGTTTATATTGGGGGCTATACACCAACACTACTTTTCCCTTACATTGTTGCTCAGGTTGTTTCAGCCTTGCTCACCTTTGGACAAAGACTTTCAATTGGCTGCTGTATCCTTTGACTCCCATCAAGGTGGATTTTTATAAAAGCTCACACTTAAAATTTTGGCATTCTATGGTTGTTGACAGTCAAAATTTCCTGCCCTAATCCTACAGTCATCCAGTTCTCCAAAGAGCCATAAATCCTTTTATTGGAGAATGGTATTAGAACCAAACATTGGGGCCCAGCAGCATGGCCTAGTGGTTAAGGTCCTCGCCTTGAACATGCCAAGATCCCATATGGGCATTGGTTCTCATCCCGGCAGCTCCACTTCCCATCCAGCCTCCTGCCTGTGGCCTGGGAAAGCAGTCAAGGACTGCTCTCTGTATATCTGACTTTATAATCAAAATAAAATAAATCTTCAAAAAAAAAAAGAAAAGAAACAAACATTGGGGGACAGGGACAAGGTTGGTTTTCCTATTTCCTATTATGCCTTCTCTTTAAGACCCCCAAGGCTGACAGAGTAAGTTTATTTTGGTGGGAAACATTTTTAAAATCCATGCATACTTTTCATAATATGTATTTTCTATGTATTTTTTGCAGACTCCTTGCCTGTGTGTACTTCCTACATACACGTGTCTGTAGTTGGTTCTCTATGTTAAGCTAAACATGTGGACAAAGTGATTCCTCCATCATGTGTCACCAGACACAACAGTCTAGCCTCTTCTCCTTGCTTGTCTGAAAATTCTTAAACCAATAAGGAGAAATACCATGCCAACCACCATCCATCTATTTGATCTAATTCTACTGTATATGTATAGAATTATCAGATATTTTGGTACCAGTGGAAAGCAGTTTTATCTACCAAAGTACAGTGATGAAGTTTAATTCCTTCTGCACTTAGTTTTACATATCTATTTCCAAAGTGACACAGGTTACTGTCTTTATACCTTGCCCTCCATACAGGCCATTTCAACATTTGAAATGTAGTTAGATGAACAGAGACAAGGAGAGACAGAGAGAAAGATCCTCTGTCCGCTGGTTCACTCCCCAAGTGGCCCAAACTGCCTGAGTGGAGTGAATTTGAAGCCAGGAGCCTACTCTAGGTCTCCCATGTAGGTGCAGGGTCCCAAGGCTTTGGGCCGTCCTCAACTGCTTTCCCAGGCCACAAGCAGGGAGCTGGATGAGAAGTGGAGCAGCCGGGACATAGACTGATGCCCATATCGGATCCCAGTGGTTCAAGATGAGGGTTTAGCCACTGAGCTATCACGGCTGGGCCCAGGGTCTACATTCCTTTCTGGGATCCTCCAACCTCCTTTTAAATTTGCAAGCATGGATTTTTTTCGTGGTTAACTTTTTATTTTGGATTTTTGAATTTTATGGTACAATTTCTGCAAACGTGGATGTTGAAAAATGCACATCATGTATGTAGCACTCAGGCATCATGCAAAAGTCTTTGTATTTTATCCATTTATTCCCCTTCCACCTCAGAAATCCCTTGCAACAACTCACTGGAATTTTCACTGTCTCTATATTCTTTTGCTATTTCCAGAATGTCAGGAAACTGGCATCATAAAGAGGTTTTTTTCTGCAGACTGACATGTTTCATTTAGCAATGTACACTTAAAGATCATGCATGTCTTCTCACAGCCTCATAAGCTCATTTCTTTTAATCATTGAGTTATATTCTGAATGGTTGAAACATATTTTCTTTGTCAATTGACCTATTAGAGATTTCTTTTTTGCTTCCAGTTTTGAGTGATTATGTATAAAGCTTCTATAAATACTAATCTTCAGTTTCTTATGTGGACAAAAGTTTTCAATTCAACTGGCTGGTAAATATTTAAGAGTATGACTGCTAGATCATATGGTAAGGCTGTGTTTATATTTTTAAGTTTGTAAAAAACTACCAAACTTTCTTCCAAAGTAGCTGTATCATCTGGCGTCTCTATCAGCTTCTCATTCTCACTAGCATTTTGTGTTTGTCAGTGTTTTGTGATTTCAGTCATTCCAAAAGACATGCAGTGATCTTATTGTTTAATTAATATGTAGATATTGAGCATCTTTCCATTTGCATATTTTCCATCTGTTTGTCTTCCTGCAGTCTTCAACTCTTCTGCTCAGATTTCATCCTTTGTTTCCATATTGAGTTTTTAAGGTTTTTGAAATATTCTGGATATAAGCATTTTGTCAGATACATGCTTTGCAAATATCTATCCTAGTCAGTAACTTGTGTTTCATTCCCTTTTATAAAAAACATTTAACTACTGGTTTACTTAAGAAAGGCAGAAGATAAACCACTTGTCCACTGGTTTACTCCCAGTAATTCTCAATGGCCAGGACTGTGCAGGGCAGAATCAGCTGCTAGGAACTCAAGCCAGGTCTTCCCCAGGGCTGGCAGGAACCCGGTGACAGTCATCAGAAGGTATTTTTTAATGGGTGAATACATGCAGGTGAAAGATGAGTTCAAGAGTAGGTGTTAAGGTACATCAGGTTAAGCCAGCTATAACCAGATTAAAGTGTTGGATCATGTCACAGCTGCTCTGCTTCCAATTTAGCTTCCTGCTGGTGTACCTGAGAAGGCAGGAGATGATGGCCCAAATACTTGGGACCTGCTAATCACATGAGAGACCTGTATTGATTTCCTGGCTACCTGCTTCAGCTTGGTGCAGCCCTGGCTGTTGCAGCCATTTGGGAATTGAAACAGTAGATGAAAGGCCTCTCTTATTCTCTCCGTGTGTGTGTGTGTGTGTGTGTGTGTGTGTGTGTGTGTGTGTGTGTGTGTGTCCATCAGTCTGCCTTTCAAGTAAATAAGCAAATCTTTTAAAAATGAAAGTGCCATTTCTTGTTTTGTTAAGAGCTTTCGGTTGCTTGTCTATTGAGTACCAAGAACAGAATTTCCTTCAAACACTGACATTTTTCTCATGATCTGGTGTTGATCTTTTCCAGAATACTCACACTTTTGTTCTCCCTGCTAGTCGCCTCCCAACACCATAACTGCTTCCTATCAGCTAGGAAATCTGGAGAACAGCCTGATCTCGCTGATCAAAACTCCCAAAAGGAAAACAAATTCTGTCTACTTCATGCTTGCACAAACAGAATAAAATTCCCATATGTGCATGTATGCCACAAAGATATTTAAGAATCCCTACATATGTCAAATTTGTCCAATTAGAAAGTTTCTCCCTGTAAGTTAGGTACTTTGAAACAGGGTTTTTACTCCTTGATACCAATCAGGTGTCAGGAACCCTGAAGTAATTTAGTGGAATCACTTGACCTGCATTGATCATTAAGAGATTACTGAATGGCCACTGTGAACCTGGCAGGCTGAACTAAGATGAGGTAGTGGAATAAATTAACATCACACGTGTACACTAGACCTGGTAGATACATACCTGATAAATACAAAACTTGTAGAAAGACCTATGAGATATAATTACCAAACAGTTTACAATGCAGACGGTTCATGAACTAAAAATGCTAGATGTGTTTTGAAAATCATCTCAAAGGCATCTGTGACCAGCTTTAAAAATGAAAGCAATGCAGACAAACACGTTGGTGTGGGAACTAGAAATGGGCACTGCACAATGAACCAGCCTTTATGCTACAAGGGAAATTGCTGAACCCCATGAACTTCAGCTTTGGTCAACACACTCTTCAAGGTGAGGGGACAGAAGACAAAGCTTGGGGACACAGACAACTGTTCTCAAATGTGGGAAATCTGGGCCCCAAGGACTAGACTCTCAAAATGGGATGAAATGATGGTCAACCTTCCTATTTGACCACCCAGCATTATTATCTCAAAATTCAGGGCAAAGTAGGCAAGAAAAATAATTCCTTGCTGAATTCTCATAACTACAAACTACAGTTCGCAGCTTGAATCTGCCCTAGGTGGGTGGTCTACAACATTTCAAGAGGAGGAAGGATTTTCTGAGAAAGCAAAGGGATGCTTAAGGCCCTGGCAGCTGACAAAGCAAGTTAACTCCTCTATGCAAGAACTCACTTCACACAAGATCCCAAAGACTCCCCAAGATCAAAGCAGCAAGAAGAGAGCGAGCCTGTGAATCAGCAGTTGATATGCTTACATCGTCCCCTGGAGAATCTGCACTCCACTCTCCAGTTTCCTCGTAGTACAGACCCAGAGGGCAGCTGTGATGGCTCAAGCCATCTGGTTGCTGCCACATGTGTGAAAGACTGGACTGTGTTCCAAGTCCCCAGCTTCAGCCTAGGTCCAGTCCTGGCCAATGTGGGCCTCTAGGGATTGAACCAGGTGATGGGAGTCCCTCTGTCTTTCACCACTCTTTCTGTCTCTATTCCTTTTAAATACATACATACATGCATGCATGCATACATATATTTTTAAGTACCAAGAAAAACAAACAAAGGGGTTCAAGATG